AAAATAATCCCATAGTCACCCAAACGAAAAAATATTCAAACAGAGGTGTTTGTATTTTTCTCAACTGTAAGTACAATCTGAACAAGAAGAAACTAACAGAGGCATTTATAAGATCTCACATGAGCTGGCATTTGACATCAACTATTCTGTGAAAGTGTCAACAAGAGTATTGCACACTAACATGTTCCTGAACTCGTTTCATGAATGTATTTTAATAATTGTCGGATGTTTGTTTTTTTATCACATATCCAATTCATATGCTGTTTTTCATATATTTTGGCGAATTTAAGAATGTTGGTAATTTACAGAAAATGTAACGTTCAATTTATTCCCAAAAATTGTCTATTTTCAGTAACATTCTATTTTATATTAATTCAATGCCTCCGGTACACATTAACTCCTCACCAGTAGTGAAGGTGGCGTCTACAGCAAGGAACAGACAAGCTTTTCCTATCTCTCTAGGTTGACCAATCCTATTTAATGGCTGCAATAAAATCCCATGGAAGTAACGTTGTCAATTAAAAACCCTGCATTGTAAGTGCCTATCATTACTTACTTTGAATACAAGGATGTCGAGAATAAAATCTTGGAGATGCATAAAGCGTGATAAATTGAGATTTATCGGCTACTAAAAAGTATTTTTTGATTTATGTTATTGTTTCAAGAACTGAACTAAAGTGTCTCAAATTAATAACTGTTAAATATGCGCAGCTTTTTACATTGATTAAGATAAATTTGTTAAGGGATAGAAAAATTATTTACATGTAAGGAACCGATATAGTTAAGTCTTTCCTCTGTCATTTCATTACCACTTGCTTTCTCAACACTTCGCATTAACGGAGTGTCTATACACCCTGGTGATATACTGAAATATACATAAAACTTATTTTTATAGCCAAAGCATAAATATTGAAATGTAACTGTGGTATTATATAAGCAATAAATATGTAGTTCTTTTATAACCTGGCAACAAACTGAAAAAAAAATATAATTATGTAGTATTTATACAACATGGAGATTTAATGATAAATTCATGTAGTATTTCGTAGTATTGATACCAGCTGGCGATATACTGAAAAATGCATATACTATTTATACAACCTGGAAATATATATTGTAAACATGTATGTAGTATTTAAACAACATATTGGGATATACTGGAAGATTTTCACAGAAACAATATACAGTATGTAATATTTATGCAACACGGGTAAATACTCACATATCCATGTAGAATTTATAAAATGTTCATGGGGATTTACTACAATATTTATGTAGAAGCAATACAACACTGGGAATAATCAGAAATATTCATGTAGTATAAATTTCACACAACCTGGGGATATATCTAAACTTCTAAATTGAAATCTACATGTAGTAGCGTGTGGTAAACTGAAATACTTATGTCGTATTTTTACACATTTATTTAAATTATCATGTTCAGTTCGTGGCCAAGCTTACACTTTTGTAATTAGGTAAGACTTACGTGAATTTGTAATTAAAGTTTACATCTGCTGACCTCTACACGTCGAACAACAAGCGTTTATTTAATGAATAAATTGTGAGTGTTTTTTTAATCCAGTTTGTTGGGCCATGTACTTCGTTAATATATTCCTACACATTTGAGCGCTAATCATACATTATTCACAAGATCGCACTCTTGTCGAGAAAACTGAATTCGGTGTAAGTCATTCAAATTGTCTTTTTAAAAAGAAGACTATTAAATTGTGTTTGGCTTTACAGCACATCAAACATTTAAGTACATATGGCGTCAAGCAGGAAATATGGTTTCGGCTACCTCGGGTGTAACAAACTTAAAGCAACACCGGGGTCAAAACCACCTCACCTGCTGGAGCTAAGAGATGCATAGACCCCAGTTGTCTGAACCTATGCCGGCGCCTATTACGATCACGCACGGATAAACATTGGAGGCAACTCTGAGGCATCAACCTTTAAAAGCAACTCCTCAGTCACAAAGGGCATAAAACTAGATCCTATTCCATTGAGAACATGAAAATGTGTGTTTCTCTTGGGACTCGTTCCGAAATGGCCGCTCGTGAGCCGCGAGGTAGTTTAAATGAATGGTTACCGATTTCTAATATGCCTGGCACCTGGCATAGTGGTAGGAGTTGGGAGGTACATGGTATGCAAGCAAAATGTGTCTCATTAGTCAGAAATGGCTGGCCCTTTCAGTAGGGGTTACACTATAATAAACTTTACCTTTTTTGTATATGGTCTATTTCTGGTGTATATGATAAACAAATATATAATTAGTAATAAAGACATTCGGTCTGTTAAATGGCTCTATATATAAACAGCTGTTTGTATTTAGCGGCGCGGTTTATATTAAAAAACTAACCTTTATATACGGACATATAAACCGTAGGAAATCATTAAAACATACTTATTTTAGCCAAAACTTCCTTTTGGGGGAGTCAAAAATTACTTCATCCTTATATATACATGTTGAAACGTGCAATGCTATAAAAATGATTCTATTTACTTACCAATTGACACGAACTCCGTGTTTTGCCTCGTCAATAGCGAGAGCTTTCGTTAGTGACAAGCATCCACCCTTAAAAAATGAATGTTATGGTTTGAAGCATTTCATACAAAATAAACTTGACAAGGCTTACCATGCAGACATTGACAGAAGATAACCAAGTAAAGAGAGTGTCAATTTAGAAAAGGAAAGCTACAAAAGTGGTCAAGTTTGTTCAGAAAACTGAAGGATTTATGACATAGATTGTTTCTCCCTTGGTGGAATCGGCCGGACATCAAGTCTATTACATGTACTTTTTAATGCAATGAATTAAATTTAACTTAACGGTTGCTTTCACGTTCAACACAATGTATATAGAAAACCCCGTACTGTAACAGTGTAAAGGCGGGCATGCTGAAAACCTTAGGCTAAGCTCAACAATATAATAACGTGATAATTCAGGATTCTTTGAAGACACATCAGCAGATGGTTCGGATTTTGATGAGGTTCCTAGATGTTAACAATATTTGGTTGGGTTTGGGTCGCATCAACAAAGTATAGGTTACGTGGCGATTTTCAAGCTTTTACTGAAGGAGAAATGCCTCAGGTGCCCATCTGCACATTATTTCAGGATAAAATGTTAACGGGTACCTGAGTACCACCACCAACGTTCTGTGACCGGTACAGTTACAACTGATTATGAATAAATTGACGTTTAAAATGCATTCGAATAAATAGAGGATATTGAATGAGTGTATGATCAATACTGAATTCATTGAACGAGCTCAATAAATTATATCATGCGGAGTGTCTGGCGAGCAAAATATTATTTTACGCAACGAGTTCAATAAATCTAGTAATGAACCTACACGAATATAATATTCTGGCATATCCAAAATATAGACTGTTTAAAGTGCAAAAGAATCATTTTTCAATGATGCGCCTATTTATAGTGTAAACTAACATTTAATAAGCGTCTTTACACTATATAACGCAAATGACGGCACGTCAATATACTCGCATATGCTAGGCCGTGCGATATCATTTTTTACGGAGTCGCAAAATCGGCACGTGTATTCAATATTAAAGTGGTAAAATATACTAGAAAAATAATGAAAAGTGTTATTCATTTTAAAAAAATCTGGACAAAAAAATATTGCAATAATTACCTTAGTTGCACAATAACTTGATGCCAATCCAGTACCAGAATGGGCACTAATACTCGTGATGTTAACTATATTACCCTTGGATTTCCTCAGGTAAGGGAGAGCATACTGTAAAAGATAACAGTTGATTTCAGTTGATGAATCGAAAGAACAATTTTTGAAATAATAATCAATTTTGTTAATCCTTACAAAAAGTTTTCAATATATCATATTTTGTATATGACAAGGTGACGAATCTTCTTTGTGCAGTGAATAGATAAAGAAAAAAAAGTTGTTTATTAGAAAACTTTATTTACTTCGGCAGCGCTTCCAATAATTGTACATATTCATCAGCCGAAAGTTGTTGTTTTTTTTTTTTCATTCACAATAATGGTATTGTAATAAATTTTCGATTGCAATTTACAAAAAAAAATATCATAATTTTTATTACATTACTACCCTTTACTTTAGGTCAGTCATTATTTTTATGCGTTTCCATAATCAAAACCTTACTATGGATCAAAATGAGTAATGAATATGTTAAGATGTTTCACCGTGCAGCTCCAAAAGACAAGATAACGAAACAGGATAGTACTTTACTTGCAGTAAAGGTTATTATCAAGATACCAAAAGGTTGGACTCCGCCTTCATTTCTGTGACGTTAAAAACAATTTAAACATTCCCTTTACCATGTTTACCTGCTATTCGGTTATTACTATCAAGATATCAAAACTAGACACTTACAGAACTTTCAGTGAAATATTGACGCATATCTTATTTGCCGTGAAGTTACTGACATTTACTTTATTTGGTTTGAAATAACAGCCAAGATAACAAAAATGGACATACACTTGCTATGTTAATTGTAAAATTATTGACAAGATAAAAAAAATATATACTTACTTTACTTGCTGTGAAGTTACTGACAAGATTCAGATTTAGAAGATCTCTAAAACTTTGCACTGTCAGTTCATCAATGGTTTTTGACCCTGGATCTGAAAATTACAGCAGTCATCAAAGTTTAGAAATTTTATTCACTAAATATGTCTAATTTGAATAAGAAAATTGTTGAGCCATGTATGGGAAACTGCATTCCCTATCACTGGGCATGTCTAATTTGAATAACTATGTACAGTATGGGAAACTGCTTTCCCTCTTACTGGGAGAAATAAAGTGGTCATGTCTTAAAATAATAAAAACTGACAGATTCAATAATGGCACATATTTCGTTCTGTAATAACTTATAGTGTGTTTGGTTTAGAACGTAAAGTATCTACTCTCCGAGCACTCATTAGATGTTTAATTTGCATAAAAATAAAACTGTATAGTTTTTTAAGTTTTTCCCAAAATTTAAATTGAGCAATATTTTTAAACAATAAATTGACTTTAGACATTTTGTATTTTTAGTAATGGCAAATGGTAAAATGAACAGTTGATGTGAATTATTTATTATCACATTTTGAATTTTGTAAAGGTTTTCATAAAACGTAACTACTTTTTAGCATAGCATACAGATTAAGTGATTAGATCTTGATGTTTATGATATCTAAAGATTCATAAAAATACAGAAATGTTTCACAATAAAAGCTTTGCTCGTCTTTTGCATTCGTATATACATCTGTATTTATAATGTCATTCAATGAAAAATATTTGATTATGATGATGATGAGTTATTTTTTTCTGTCTAAGTTTTATATGTTTCCAATAAAAATGCATTACGTGTTCCGACGTTGTTAACTAAACAATCCAGTTGACCATACTTCTTTACCACAAGTTCTACAGCATTCTGAAATGTGAAGTTGAATTCGTTAATTCAATATGGGTCAAACATGTACTAAATTGGAAAAGAATATCTGACACCATTGTATAATTACCATGTAGGAAATTTGTGTTTCGTAAGCAAGAAGTCTTCATACATTACAATTATTGATATACAAGTACTGTATATTAGCATCTTATCAAGTTTCTTTTAGGTTGTAACAGACAAAGCAGAAGTAAATGTTTCTGTTGGTCTTAATATTAAGTTCACTAAGAATGTAGTATAAGATAGGCGTTCAATGCAATTAATGCTTCAAGATAACAAAATTATTATATTTTCAAAGAAACATTTCTTCATTATCACCGAAAAAAACAAACACTTTTCTTGACAAAACAAACAAATACAATAATATATGTTCGAAGAAACATTACTTTAAAACGTAACATATAATTCCAGTTTCCTTTGCGACACTGACTCTACCTTTCATTTACACATTTTAAGTCAACTGTTATCCATGAAGCTGCCTACTTCTTATTCTCCAGCTCACTCAATCCATAATTTTTCACAACAAATTTTTCTTATTTAAATTCTGGAAATTTAAACATTGATCTTTCCAATTAACTTCGTATAGAAATAGTAGTATATTTAAAGCCATTAAATAAAACCCTTTAATTTTTCTTCCTTTGTCATGTTACAATGAAATAAAAAAATTTCCCAGGGGGTTGACTGAGCAAATTTCTCCAACTTCATCTAAATATATTGTTATTTTAATTAAAAGATTCTCTTTTAAATTTGATTTGTTTTCCTTTCGTCAATAAATTGGGAAAAAGCAGTTTAAAATTTTGGTTAAAAAAATGTATCTGTTTTAAAAATTACATCTAAATGTTAAAATGGCAACTTTTTTATATATTATAAAATTTTGGGGGTTTTTTTCAAATGAATTTTTCCATCATCCTTACATTTTTAAAAAACAAACATGAAAGGAATACCAACCATTTTCTTTATCACACGTATCTAGAGACATTTTGAAACATACCGAGGACCCAGTGACTTCTAAATAAATTGAGTTTAGCTATATTTATAAATAAACAGTTTACAAGTTGTATGCACGTTGCGGGGTAGGAAAGCGGCTCGGGTATATAATAAATTATGTATCAAGCACTTTGACAAGAAGACAATTGTGCAATTATAACGTCAAATGTGCACTTTTGACGTTAAACCAATGACATCAGCCAACACCTTAATTGTTATGCAACGCAGTATATAATGCCTTACTCAAAATCTCTAACGTTGATATTAACCCAACATATCTGATTCCAACCGAGACAGACATTTAATTGTAATATTTAATGCATAAAAATGCTTTGTTATTGTGTTATACTAATAATGAATAGCCGAAAATGTGTACATGTACTCTAATAAATAATCTTACATTAAACGATTTTCATGTGTCATTTAAGTTAATAAGTACAAGTACCAGAATGTTAAAATTTCAATTAATTTCAATAACTTACCGTCTAAGTCTAAGACTGCAATTTTTCCTCCATGTTCCGCTAAAATTGACGACACAATTATATACATATAAACACATATTATGTATTACATATAAAAAAATGTAAATATATTTTATGCGAAATACAAAAATTAAAAACAAGAAATTCTCGAAAAAAGTAGAAGCCTTACTAGATATAATTTTGTGGAGCCAAGCGATGATGATTTTACAAAAAATAGTATCTTCGATAAAATATACAAGTCAATGTTAACCGAAGAAAATTATATGCATGTATATCCAAACAAAATGTTTTACATGGAATCAGACAGTAAAGAAGCGAAAAAATATGGAATTTTAAAAACTTCAATGAGACAATATCTATATGAGGCGTGTCACGACAAAACCAACATATTGCGTTTGCGACCAGCACGGATCCAGACCAGCCTGCGCATCCGCGCAGTCTGATCAGGATCCATGCTGTTCGCTATCAGTTTCTCTACTTGTTATATGGTTTGTAAGCGAACAGCATGGATCCTGATCATTACGTTGGTTTTGTCGTGACGCGGCTCATATGATATTTGTGATTTATTGAATACTAATGAGATTTAAAGTGAATTGGTCAGCAATGGGCACAATTTCCATAAATATTTCAAATATTGATAAAAACATTAGAAATTTATCATTTCGATATTCTATTGACATATTTCTTGAAAAAATGTTGATGGAGTTTTTAGCGATTTAGTATGCATATTTGTATGATAAACTATAATATTTTAATCTAGAACAATTCATTATTCATTGTATATCGTAACATACAAGTATGTAATATCGGATTTTATTATATACTCTATAAATAGCTTTGAAAGACTTAATTAATCTTACCCAACACATCCACACAACCACGTCCAATCCCCCTACATCCCCCTGTAACTATAGCAACCTTGTTGTAAAAGCGAAGACCACGAGTTGCATCTGAGTTTGACATTATTTGAGTATGAAAGAAGCAGATGAGTTCAATATTAATACCCCACAGTCACACTGTAACGAAAGAAACGATGATCAATTTAAACGAATGAACATGATACATTATTTTAATAAACGTACTATAGTGTTATGCCAATAGAAAAGTTAAATCAATCAAAGGACGACATTCCCTTCCAAAAAGAGTTTGCTTACGAGTTAGATATTAAGCTATTCGATGGCTGCAGTTCCTCTCGACAGTTTACACGGATAATTCAATATTTTTTTCTCTCGAAAACTTAAAAATGTATAAAGTGCATAACATATTTAAAAGTATGCAGGTAAAGATTAATGTGCATTACCTTTGATATGAAACTGTAACATTAAATTTTCTCCAAGTTTTGCTTAAGTGTTTGCTTTTAGAAGCTATCTATTTGACAGTAGACAGTAGACTGTCTAGTTTATCTGCTCACTTTGACCTGAAGAACATTTTAGAAGACATATCACTATATATAAAGTCTTCTCAGTGTTTGTTTACATGATAACAACAGAGGTCTTCAACGTTAAAGATGCATCTATCTTTAACTAAACAAGATAAAGAATGATATCTAGGATCTAATTCGCAAAGTGAAGTGTTCACATTATTAACAAAAAAACTGCTACATTTTAAGTACAGTGTTGTGCTTTTCATTCAGCTATAAATATAGCATGAAACAAGATTAAAAAATATCAAAAAGGCAGAAAAAAGTGTATTATTACATTGCAATTTCTCTTAACTAGATGATAAGCATTAAATAAATAGCAAGTGCTTGGTCCTTTCCCTCAAACCCCCTTGAAATAAATTGTACGTAGAGAAAGTACAATCCGAAGTTCATTCATGAAGTCAAAAAAAATATTTATATTCGTATTAACTTTATGGATGCTTTGTGCAATAGTTTATATAGAAAAATTACATGTAAAACTAACATGCACTATTTAACTTAACAGGGCGTAATTTAAGGATGCTAAATATTATTAAAACTTTGTATACATGTTTATGCCTATGATATCTTTGTTAACATTTGTTTTGGAAGAGTTTTAGATTAAGTGGTAAACTTTAAAATTAAGCAACATTTACAAGAAGGAAAATTTAAAAAAAAAAAAACTCCAAAAAAAAATTAAACTATCAAAAGAATGAAGAAAAGAACTCATTTGAGCTTATTTTTATTATAAAACTGTGACTGCATATTCTCAGATGAACTTAATTTTTCTAAGTATGCGTTTTTTATTCCATTCACAAAATTGCAGTCTAGACGACGGGACTTATTTACCTTTTTTCCAATGCTGGAAATAAATCCTCGTACCATCTACATTATACGGAAGTGCTTTAGTGCCAAGTGTGTGTTGTTTATTATTTCGAAATTTCGAGTTACTAACTAAATACATACCTCCAAATTTCGTCAAACTTATTTGAAATTACGACATCCGTTACTCGAAATTCTGACTCATAGGCCCAACTTAAATTGACAAAAAGTTAAAAAATGAACTTGTTTTTTATTAATTTTTTATTACATAGATGGTTAAAGAGATATGTGTCTGACAAATTTGGAAAGTTACAGCACTCAAACTCGATTATTATCTGTAGAACAGCCACTGAAACAAATTGAGTACTTTTGCAAAATGTTATTTACGTTACCTTAACTAAACATAAACCAATGGTCATATTAAAGTGATTTGATATATTCTATAAATGTACTTGATACAGATAGTCACTTCGATAACTAATTTGCCAAAGTAACATTACATATTTTATGCACAGGTTTTAATAAAACCGTACACCAAGCTTTAGATGTAATTATCAGTAATAAGTCGTCGACTAAGATAAATTTATAAAAGGTTTATGCTGAAACATATTCATTTTTCCATTCTTTTAAGAAACGAATAGCTTAAGACCGTAAATATTTAGTGAATGCCATTAAGACATTATCTTTTTTATTATATATATAAAAAAAATTATAAAATATCACAAAGTCTATGACTTGGTTTAAAGCTGTTACTAACAAATGAACAAAGTAAAAGAATTGACCAGTTATGGTAACGTAGATTACCTTATATTCAAGGATTTTTATATATGTTATAACATGTTAAACAATAAAATGTTGATGTCATGTCGAGCTTTTGCAAAAGAAAATCAATTAATTCATAAATTGAAATAGAAAAGTCTGATCAAACGCATAAGAAAATCTTTTTAATTTTTAAGCATGATGTTTATTTAAAGTTAAAAAACACAAAAAAAAACAACAAAGCCATTGAATCATTTATTTAAAGCGGCCTTCTGTTTTTCTGAAGGTTTTATATAAAGTCCAATAAAAAAATATGGTGAATAATTATATTTGCCATCATAAATTACAGAATCAATAATTAAACTCCTTGATTCCTCTAATCTACATGTCCGCTATCTATTTGTATATTAGTAAAGCGTGTGATTCGTTTTCCGATTTTCTATTTTTAGAAACAAACATCACCGGCGTTCTATAAAATTAAATAGATCTTTAGACACTGTTTTAAAGTAGTCCTTACATTGATATGTTGCACTTTTCTAAGATAAAATTACTGAAATACTTAATTTGAAAAAAAAAAAAAAAAAAAAAAAAACAACATTTTCGAACAGCGACAGCGTATTTTTCTTTTAAATTGATATTATTTTTCATTTCTTTTTCTAAATACCAGTTTCTGACATCTATTGTGAATATGATTTAAAAGAAGAAACCGTGTAATGTTGAAAAAATAACAAAACTCAACTGTATAATTGTATATGTTTTAACTTTTGTCAAGAGACACTCAAATTTCAAACTTGGGCCTATCATGTGAGAATAGGTGCATAGTATATAAAGGGGGACGCTGAATATCTTTAGCTAATGATACACGTACTAAAGGTATATCAAATGTTATAAAATGATTTGTATCACTTTCTAATTATACATTATGAAGTATAACTCTGACACAGAGTTAAGAAACAACATACCAGTCACGCTACATATATGATACTTGAATATCATTAGAAAATATAACGTATGATAAACAATTGTTAATAACATTACTTCATGTACATCTTAAAAACTGGAATAGAATTTTGCATTTCCCCATTCATTTCATGCCCGTAAAGACAGGTTTTGAATTACAACAAGACATTTTTTTCCAATTTTCTGTTTTCTCGTCTACATAATTGCGATCATTTCCTTTACATTTATTCCTCTCCATGATATTTATACCCAAAAACCAACCTTAAGGTGTCATTGATATGTTCTTTGTACAGTTATTATCATAAAATAAATGGGGTATTGAATCAAGTTTCAATGTAATGAATCTTAATACCGGATATAATGCAATATTTATTTCAGTATAATTGTTTCTTTCTTTTCTGCTAACATATCTGTAAAGTGCATGATACAAGATCTTGTTGACAAAATTAGCTTGTCCGATAAAATGGTTCAACGAGTAGCAGAGGGTTTATTTTTAAAAAAAAGTACACGAAGATAAAATTTTAAAACTAGTGTTTTCATTAATATTTAAAATTTAAGATCCGGCCAAATTAAATAACATTATGTAAAACAACAAACAGCTCTGCTACAATTCCATTTTTATTTGTATGCACTTAATTTTTTTTTTTTAATAAAAAAGTGTTAATTATATTTAATTTACAATTTAGTGAGATATTTAAAAGAAAAAGAAAAGAAAATTGTACAGTATACAAAATGCTTTGCAGACATATTTCTGGTTTAAATAATTAGCTTAGCAGTCTAAGGAAAACCTTTTCAGTCTGTGCATAAGAGCACAGGCAATCGATGTGTGGCTTGAATAGTTTACATGTACTTGACCACGCCCACTTATTTTTATATACTTTGTTTCACTTATAAAATATTTTTTTCATTTAAAATATTTATTAAACATCTTATTTTCAATTTAATAACAAAGGAAAGTTGTTTTTATAAAAATTATCCATCATTACTATATAGTACTATATATTTATTACAACATGTCAGGCTTCAACACCTATTTCCGTTCCCAACTAGAATAAATTGTTCTAGATAGCATATTTTGTGGCATTCCAAGCGAAAATCCTTCCAAGATAATATTGAAAAAATACAATTAAAGGTGTGAGCAAACCAGACGTTACGTAATGTCAGGTTAGGGAAGGCCGGGTAAAGTGGAAAACGGGACAAAATGAAACACCCTCAGAATTTTATTGAGCAAGTTAGTACGTCGTGACGTAATTACTGCTCCTAAAATATGCATTAATTGCCATTTCGTTGAGTAAGGATAGGTAGCTATTTATACTGCAGAGAATGTTTCCGTTATATTATTGTGTGTTTGCAGCAGAGATAGTATTTTATATAGGATTTGAAAATCATTAGAACAAGAAATATATTATATAACCATTGCTGTTATTAAAGCCTTTATTACGTAGTCAAATCGCTTATTAATTAGAAATCGATCAAATATAGTTCATATGTTAATAATGAGAAAATGTAGTTAACAGCAAGTGAGAAATAAACGTTCTTCTTCTTTAAAAACAAACAAGTATTTCATCGATCAGTGACCTGATATAAGTTCGTTTGAGTGAAACAGCATATGGTCGGCGCAAACTGAATTTTTTAGGCATAAAAGCAATCAAGTTTAAGTTAAAATGAAAAAGCTAACATCATTGATATTTTTTTAATTTTAAATTTGAAACTACGATAAAAAAGAGATAAAAGATACTGTATATCAAAAGTTAATATTTCAATATCGTTCAAGATGCCAAAATGTACCTACAATGGTCCGAGCTAGGTGTCTCTTGAGGGCATTTTCCAAAATGTCCAAAAATATCATCCCAAATCTGCTGGGTAAGGAAAATATTATATTTTCAAGAGTACTACGGTATAGTAGCTTTTATTTTCATCTAATAGTAATATGGGTTCAACGATTTAAGGAAATTAAGTTAGATTCTTATACGCAAAAGTCAAATGGACTTTTAAATGTTCCATTAGAATTTAGCGGTGTCATACCTGAAATATAAGTAGTGGTGTTCAGTCTAAACACACATTTCACAAGAACAACAAAACAACACACATTTTTCATCTACAATTGTGTTTTAGCGTCTACTTCGCGTCAAAGAGTGTTAAAAATGGCTGAAGCAAACTGGGATGATGTAACATACATCAGAAAATCTAAGCCAAAGAGTGGAACTTTAAAAACGCAGCAGGTTTAATAAAATGTGACAAAACTAGTAGTAGTTTCGGATATTGCATCATTCTTATAAAACAAATTTTAAACTGTATATTACTCGTTAGACCTGATTTTTTTTTTCAATGTTTACAATACAACAATTAAGCAAATTAAATTAATATTTCATGTAGAGTGTTGAAAATAGGTTAGACTAATTCTTGGTATTCATTATCCTACACGTATAAAAAGTAGTGGCTAGCCGTAAAGTTTTAGCCGTACGTGAGTCACGTAGGATTAGCAAGCGAGCAAGGACTCACTGTATTGGCTAGCTGTTCGGCATTTTCGGAATTATATGGAAGTCGAAAATGCATATGTTATTTTATGACTTTGAGCGAGGATTTAAAAAAAAAAACAGCAATTGTCTTTGTATGTTTACTGTTTAGAGATTAATATGAATAAGGCAAAGCCTCAAAGCGAGCTCGATGTACTCTTAACGTGTATATGAAAAAATGGCTCGCAGTGACAAGTGCTTGTGACTTCACACGTACTGTATTAAATATGGCTGTGTCCCAGTCGTTAAATGAATAACGAGTTTTGAAAACGTTGATAAAACTTTGTTTGTTTATTTTATTTCACTCTATATGTTTTAAATGAAAATAAAGATTATTAAAAGTGAAAAAAATGTAAAACTTTAAACGTTTTCGACATTTAAATAGGGTACTTGATCTGACTGTTTTGCACGTGCTTTTTGGCGCTACATTGTGACGTCACGTAAACAATACTTTAAAGGTCTGTACAGCGTTATCGACTGAATAAAAGATATAATAAATTGGTGTTCGGATTCATTTTCACAGTTATACCATTTTCTTTCATTCTAGATATGTTTCACAGTAAAATTCAACAAAAGAATTGTTTTTATTTATCAAATTTTTCAAACAAAATGGCGTCGTTCAATTTTCATTTTATGTTTTAAAACTGTCATTTGATATTTTATACACAGCTTCACTTATTCTGGTTCCCTGTCCAATAATAGTTCCCATAGACGTGCGCGAATGACCAGTCTACACATCTGTTTTCACTTTTCAGTCAGACTTCCTCAGTTTTTATCGTTATCTTTAAATTCAAAAAGTTGCGATGTGTCCAATTCGGTACTTCAGAGGAAAGTTTTCAAAACCATCACTTAGCATGTACTCACGTTACCGTAAAGCTCGTTTTGGGAGCAGGCTCTTCGGGCCAGCTCTTCATGCTCGCTAATAGCCTTGTTGGCTACAGTAAAAAATAAGTATGAATATCAATCTCATTCATCTCAAGACATCAAGTAAAAATAGCGTTTGGTCGCAGTTAAATAACACCAATTGAAATAGTTTAAAAATTTTGATAATAGTCATTCAGGGTTCGTACAGTCTTAAAAAGTGCTTAAATTTGAGTCTCTTTCTTAAAAAGTGCTTAAAAATGTAAAACAGTGCTTAAAAGTCCTTGAATTTGATTACTCTCTTGAAAAGTGCTTAAAAAGTGCTTAAATTTGCTAAAAATGTGCTTGAAAATGTTTGAATCACAGAATGACATAGTTTTGATAATAATCAACTGTTAACAAAATAAAAAAAAGATCCAATTTAGTATCAAAATCAATGAAATGTTTACTCAATGTAACAGTAAGTGGACAAATTGCAGTTGTTTTGAACTAATCTGTACTTGATGCACCCTTAGTTGTTCTTCTATAATGTTAGAAAATATGTATTTAACAAAAAATGGTGAACAAACTATCTATCATAGGTTGAACTTGAAGATTGTGTCGGTGTATGTGCAACAAATGTGCTTGAAAAATGGGAAAATGTGCTTAAATAGTGCTTAAAAAGTCCTTGAATTTTGGCATTGGATGTCTGTACAAACCCTGTCCTTTTTTGTTTCATTAAGTTTAATTTTCGACACCTCTAAAATGAAACAAAAAAAAAGGAAAATCATTGCTTTTGGGCTCTGATAATTGCGTCAATTACCGACGGTATAGAAGTTTGTCCATCATTAAGGAAAGTTTGCATGTTCCGTGTTCAAAACGCATTTTAAAATTCTATTGTTAGTTCCTTGGTAGGCTTTAATTAAGGCTAATAAATTGTGCTTTTATGTTCGATATCTATCTACTGTATTTGAAAATTATACAATTATTTTTGCTTTTCACAATTTTTTTGTTTTTAGCTCACCTGAGCTTGCTCAGGGTGAGCTTTTAGGATCGGTGAATGTCCATTGTCCGTCGTACGTCATACGTCCACAATTGCTTGTGAACACTCTAGCGGTCACATTTTTGATTCAATCATCATCAAACTTTGTCAGGATGTTGTCTAGGTGATAGCTCGGATGAGTTCGAACACGGCTCATCTGTGATGAAAAACTATGTCACAAGAGCTAAAAATAGAAAAACCTTGTGAACACTCTAGTGGTCACATTTTTGAACCAATCATCATCAAACTTGGTCAGAATGTTTGTCTAGTCAATTGCTTTGATGGGTTCGGACATGGGTCATCTCTGATGAAAAACTAGGTCACAGGGGCTAAAAATAGAAAAACCTTGTGAACACTCTAGTGGTCACATTTTTGACCCAATCATCATCAAACTTTGTCAGGATGCTTGTTTAGATAATACAGTAGCTCGAATGAGTTCGAATATGGGTCATCTCGGATGAAAACTAGGTCACCGGAGCTATAAATAGAAAAACTTTGTTAACACTCTAGCGGTCACATTTTTGCATCAATCATCATCAAACTTGGTCAGGATGCTTATTTAGTTGAAGGCTTGGATGAGTTCGAACATGGGTCATCTCGGATGAAAAAGTAGGTCACCGGAGCTAAAAATAGAAAAACCTTGTTAACACTCTAGCAGTCACATTTTTGCATCAATCATCATCAAACTTGGTCAAGATGCTTGTCTAGGTGATAGCTCGGATGAGTTTGAACATGGGTCTTCTCGGATGAAAAAGTAGGTCACCGGAGCTAAAAATAGAAAAACCTTGTTAACACTCTAGCAGTCACATTTTTGCATCAGTCATCATCAAACTTTGTCAAGATGTTTGTCTAGGTGATAGCTCAGATGAGTTTGAACATGGGTCATCTCCGATGAAAAACTAGGTCACAGGAGCTAAAAATAGAAAAACCTTGTTAACACTCTAGTGGTCACAATTTTGACTCAATTGTCATCAAACTTGGTCAGCAAACTTGTCTAGGTCATTGCTGGGAATAAATCGAACATGGGACATCTGGGATTAAAAACTAGGTCACAGGAGCTAAAAATAGAAAAATCTTGATAACACTTTAGTGGCTACTGTTGTGATTGAAATGTTCTGTTAATTGGTCTGATTAAAGTTTGTTTTGATTATTTTCAAGTCAAGATCGAAACATGGGTCATCTTGGATGAAAAACTAGGTCACACTGCCCAAATATGGAAAAAACCTTGTTAACATTCTAGTGGTCACATTTTCGACTCAATTATCATCAAACTTGGTCAGGATGCTTGTCTGGGTAATTGCTCGGATGAGTTTGAAATCGCATGTGAAACTAGGTCACCGGAGCTAAAATAGAAAAATCTTGTTAACATAGAAAAAACTTGTTAACACTCTAGTTGCTACTGTTTTGATCCAAGTATCCTGGAAATTGGTCTGAAAGTTTGTTTTGATGATTTCCAGGTAAAGTTTGAATATGTGTCACCTGGGTACAAAACTAGGTCGCACTGCTCAAATATGGATAATCCTTGTTAACACTGTAGTGGTCACATTTTTGACTCACCTGTCATGAGACTTGGTCAGAATGCTTGTCTAGGTTATTGTTTGGATGAGTTTGATAAGTCAGGTGGGCGATCTAGGGCCAGCATGGCCCTGTTGTTTTAATGTTCTTTTTATTTATCCCACTCCAATCATAATTATTGGATCTATGTGCTTAATTAACAAAAATCATCTTTCATACAAATAAAACAACAAATCATAATCATGAGGCACAAAATAACATATGCATGTTCGATTTCCATATAATTTTGAAAAGTGCCGTACAGCTAGACAATACAATGTGTCCTGGCTAGTTGTACGTGACTCACATACGGCTAGAACTTTTGGCTAGCCATATGGGACCTTATGGCTAGCCACTTCCTACATCAATTTTAGGAGAGTTTGGTCGGTCAGGGTTGTCATTAGAAACTTAGAAAACACTCTTTGTTGTTTGTGATACCAAACAAAAATGACCACCTCAAGTTCAAAATGGCCCAATTTAGAACATTTTTAATGATGGCCCTGAACTTAAGTCCAAAATACTGGAAATCCATGTTTTCGCCTCTTGAGTATCTTCTAGAACTCTGTGTACTGTTGGCCTAGCCCAACAAATCTTGCACCAGAGCTTTTTATTACATGTGACGACTTTTAAAGACTGACATCGATGTAATATCAGTTTGTAAAATTTGTCTGTCTTGCTGAAAAAGTATTGAGAGCAATTATCAATTATCTTAATTTTGAACTATGGAGAGATTAATCAGTATCATGTGTAACAAATGATTCTTAGTGATCTCATACAAAGGTGCTAATATGATTTGATTTAGATCTGATCATTAATCTGTCCTATAATAGGAAATTCGAATAGTATTCATAATGTCAGATTATTATTGTAATGCATTAAAGTGACTTTATGCTCTTCAAGAGGTATATAAAATAAATGAATGTACAGGTTAAAGTCACAATAACTGTACAGTTTGCTATAATTCCTTTCAGTTTAATAATTGACTTTGCATCAACAACAAATAACTTATGTGGTACAACATAACAAGGAATTTTCTGAAAATTTCCTTAGACTAGAAACTGCTAGGCATTTACCATTAATAATGTTCTATTTATAAAAAGAGTGGGTACAGTCATCATATTTTAGGCAGATTTATATTTACTCCTACATTGTAAACATTTTCCAGTAATAAGTATCAACTGTTGTTCAATCACCATTATAACAGTCAATCTTTTGAAATATTTAGTAAATTCAGCCCAACTTGACAATGAAAAAATTTGCATTATTTTAGGGTAAATGTCACTGCAACTATCATGACTATCATTCAATGATAAATTATTTTTAATCATTGAAGTTCTGATAAAAAAATATTGCTGAAAACTTAATGTAATTTCCATTATCCTATATGATCATTCATTTTTTTTTGCTCTAGAGAAATTTAAAATTCTATAATATGTACATACAGAACATGTAGATCTATATAATAAACATATAAATGAAATACTTTTAAAATAAAATGCATGCATATTTTCATTTCAGTATTTTCACTGTAAAAACTTAATTTGCTCTGCAATTTCAGTATTTTCACTGGTGTATAACATTGATTCATATACAGTACACTAGTGTTTAAATTTTTTTTCAGGCTTTAAACTCTGCACAAAGACAGGGTGTGGCAATTGATACTGAAAAAAAATGTAAGTCATATATAGAGCATTTATGATTATCATGTTTGTATCTTAGTCACATTTTTATTAGAACATACATTCACAATTTATATTACAGGGTATTTGATAGTTTATAATAGTTTATACTACAAGGTACTAGTATTATTTTAAATTTGAAAGCTTTAGGCTTATTTTAACATGAATTAATTTGAAATATGATCAAGACCAAAGCAGGGCTCGGACCAAGGTTTTAACTTCTTTCAACTGATTTTAGTCAAATAAAATAGTATTCTCTTACTCATGTCATCATATTATGATGTGACAATGTTTTCTGTAAAAATGCTAGAATCTTTTCTTGCAATTTATAATAATTTTATGGGACATTTACTACGCTCGCAAGCAACTGGGCTGACGATGAGCCCGGAGCGGTATCTATATAGGTCGGAGTCGTTTTTGCCTGGAAATGAGACAGTATTTTAATTAATAACAAATTTATTACGTCCAAAGTATCGTAGAAGAATGATATAATAATTTTAACACCAAAGTTTATAATGCATATCAGTTAATACATAATGATAATGTCAAGTTGCATGTATCTTATATCATCATACATGTTAACAGATTGGTACTTATTTAAAATGATACAAGGCGAAATGGGGAATTAAGCTTTGCGAGAGGTACCATTTATATGAAAAGAACTATAGATTAACACAAAAATAGATTTCTATAGTGACTAAAAAATTGGTAGAAACAATTCTTTTTGTGCCCCCACTTTAGTGGCGGGCATTTAGACTTACCCTTGTCCGTCCGTCCGTCCTTCCGCACTCACAGGACAGTAATTATGAGGCTAGAGGGACAATAGCTAACTGTTAGAACTTCCGTCCGTCCGTTCTCTTTTGTGTCGCATGTAACTCAAAAAGTATTTGACCTAGAGTCATGAAACTATGTGTAGTTGTGCACCTGGGTATTTTTGTCTGGATATTTTTAGAGTTTTTGCCCTTGACTTAGTAAAATTTTGCAATTTTCAACTTGTGTCGCAGGTAACTCGCAGGTAACTCAAAAAGTAATTGACCTAGAGTCATGAAACTTTACAGGAATGTTGATCAGCATGTGTAGTTGTGCACCTGGGTGTTTTCATCTGGATTTATTTAGTATTTTTAGAGTTATTGCCCTTGACTGAGAAAATTTTTGCAATTTTCAAAAAAGGATTTGGCTCCAAAATTTCCTTATTTTAAAACTTGTCTTCGTTTCTGGTACAACATACGATTGATTCTTTATTAACCTGGTTTGTGATGATTAGTCCAGAAATCAAGATTGTCACAAAGTTGAAGAGTGGGACTGGTGCCATCTGGACTGAGAAATCTTCAGCTTTGGTGTTTTTCTAGTAATTTATGTTAATGCTAAACAAGGTGATAACCTATCAACTTATTAAAAGCCAACAAGTTTTCACAATGACAAACATCCTTTACAGAATAAAAGGTTCTAATGGAAGCTATTTGCAAAAAATAACAATTGCAAATGTTAAGAATTCTAAAGCTAATTTAAGAAAATTTATAATTAAATAACACCAAATAACAATTTTTGGAACAAAGTTCAAAATAGAAAAATAAAACTGAAATATTTGAAATCTATATTTAAAGACAAAATTTTTGATATTAATTTTAACTATTAAAGTTAATTAATTTTTACAAAATGAATTTTTAAAACATTTCATCTATTTACTTTATATGATTATTAATTATGATGTATTACTTAATTTTATATAATAAAAAAGGCACATCATAATAATAGCATGAAGTGTACTGTGCTTTCAGTAATCATGACTTATACTTATATTGGAGTGTATTTCTGTTGACATTTCTGTTCATTTATGATATCTGCCGACTCTGCCTTCAAAGTACAGTTTTCAGTTTAACAATGAAATTGTAATTGGTTTAGTTAAGAGCCTGGCCTGAGCCTGCACATATGACCATATCGGAGAGAATCTGATTTGTTATCCAGGGGCCTCTGGTTTGATCCTTGGGCAAGGCAAAATTTCTCAGTGACAGTTGATGCTTGACATAACATGTTGAGTCTAACATTTGGTCATTTTATGACAATGCCATTGAAAAAGACCATGAGGGATTATTGGGCAGTCACTTGAGAAAGAAATGGGTAGCTGACATCACCGGTTGTTCTACTCAGGTGCTCGTTGGTGCCTGAAATGATGTACGGAAGATCTCCTGAGGTCTTTCTTCACCAGTTAAGCTTAAAAGTAGCCATAATGACCTATACTATGTTTGCGTGACATAAAACCAAATAAAAGATAGGTAAAAATAAAACTATTAGTCAACCAGGAATGCTGGGTAAGTGGATTAATTACTGAGACCAAAAATGCATAAAAAGCCAAACAATCTTCTTTATTTTAAATTTTCATTTTCCCCACCCCAAAAAAGGAAATTTTAAAACAGTATTTTACTTTTTCTGTTTTTTTAAAAATAGTCTGGAGGTCTGAAAAACAACATGCACCACTAAAAAACCGCAACCGATAGAGAACGGGGCGCATCCGAGATGTGGCCCTCGATGGTGTAAATATTAAAATAAAGACAGGAAAAGGTGGACACAGAAAAGTTAGTATGATGTCATAAAAATTTAAACCCTTCCCTGCTTATTTCTATAATGGATTTTCCAGCTTTGAAGTTAAAAACAGTCCATTAAAAGTTCAGGTTTAATATAAAAAAAAAAAAAATTAAAGCTCCCAAAGATTAGAGCCGGGTCGATCCCCCAAAATAACAAAAAAATTTTAATTTTTCGTAAAAAATGATACATTTTTTCAAAAGGGCATTTGCTCTATGTCTATTTTTTACAAAAGTACAATACAAAGTTAAAAAGCACAGGGGTTTTGTAAATTATATTCAGAAATTTGTTGGAGAAAAAATACAGGGTTAAAAAGTTAAAATTTATCTAAGTTTTTGTAAAATTTTAAAACAGTAAAATTGTGTTGTTTCGGAATTCATTAATATTATGATTGCTTCTCGAAATGTAGTAACATAGAATGTCACTGTTATTAAGACACATGAATATTGTTGATGATATTTTAAATAGGGTTTTAACTGTTTGGCAATGATTTTGTCATATGCCATTAATTAGCTTTAAATGAAAAATACCGACAATTTTCTTTTGGAATCATTTTATTTTTTTTTTAATCAAATATTTTTTTTTTTGAAATCACACTGGAAACAATTAAAAAATAACTATCTCTTTGCACAAAATTAACCCTCTCCGACATTTCAAGGATTTATACCCCTCTTTATCATGGAGTTTATTGATCAGTTAGGAAAGAGGGGTTAAATCCCTCGAAAAATGTTAAAGACATTTATAACTTTGTGCAGGAGAAAGATATTATTACAAATAATTTTTTTGCAGCAGATATTTAGCTTTATACACTTGAAGGGTTGGAAAACATGTGTATAGATGCCTTGACAACTTAAGATAATCAGACAAGCCACACAAACACGAACATTTAGTAATTTAATTTAATTGCAAACGTTTCGGCTATATGCCTTCATCAGTGCAAAACATAATAAAATTACCGGAAGCGACGTCATAACGGAACACGCGTTAAACGCGCGAAAAACGTTATGGCGTTTTGCGGCAAAACTATGATAACATGTAGAAACAAATATTTATGCTATAAATAAAGCTGGTACATGAATTAAAATGGATCAACAGTGATACAGATGTCTATTAGACAGTGTTAATAAAAATAAGATAATAGACAAACATATTAAATATTCATGTAACATATTATAAATCAAACAATACTTTATTATTTAGTCCATTTGGAATCATAGTATTTAATTTATGAATCCAAAAAGATTCTTTACATAACCGGTCCATGTTGTTGTCTATAATTTCTATAGGTAAAAATGAAAAATCTGACAATGAACACTTATTATCGTTTGATCCGAAATGGATCGCAACATGTGAAACTGGATTTACGTCACAATTTCTTATATCAAATCTATGTTTATTCATTCTGCATGATACATTTTGATTAGTCTGACCTACGTATTGCTTTTTACAGCCTTTACATGTAATGAGGTAAATTACATTACGCGTAGTACAATTAACATCATTGTGTAAATCAAAAAAAACTACCTGTTATGCTGCTATTAAATTGGGAACCAACAAATTATATTGTTACAATGTGAACATCTACTTCGTAAACATTGGCTAGAAAAAAATGTGCGATCAAGTAAAGCACTTCTAATAAGATAATCTCGAATGTTTTTAGGACGTCTATATGCTAAAATAGGTTTGAACTTGTTATGTATATTTTTTAACGCTTACCTTATCAGACAAAAGTAATAGATCCCAATATTTATTTAAGATTTCACCAATATTAGGCAGAGATGTATTAAAACATTTTTTTTTTTTTTTTTTTTTTTTTTTTTTTTATGACAACTTAAGGAAAGATAACAAATTAGAAGAAAAGAAGTTAAACAACAACAAAAAAAGAAAATTGATTTTACCTTATATAATATAATCATTTGAGGATGAAAATGTTTATACAGGATTATAATTAATGTGATCACCAAGAAAAGTGGTATATTTTATTTAAAATTAATGAAATACTAATCTTGTTCCAGAAAATCAATGAGAAGCCGCAAGTGATAAACGAATATGAATCTGGTAAAGCTATACCTAATAACATTATCATGTCCAAGTTGGAGCGTAATTTGGGTAAGCTATATACTCTATAATTTATTACCTTAAACATATACCTACTTAATGAGTCTGTAAATTCTTAAATTTGGGAAAGTTTAGATATTATTGTATATTATGGCATTGTGTGGTTTTATATAGCATTAAATGCTATAATATTACTTTAATTTTATCATGAAGGCATAGGGATTAGGCTAGCTACATTTTACAAAATGAAAACATTCATTGTATCAAGAAAAGTTACAGTCTATTTCTGAGCACCTCTTTTATGACTGGGAAGGGAATTCACATTTGAAAATTGTATTGGAAAATAGGAGATATGAAACAAAGGTGAAAATTGAAATTGTATTTTTAAATTAGAATAGGCAAAATATGTTTTTAACCAATAACTTGTGGTTTTAAACTGATTATTTATTTCACACAGAGTGTTTTTGTGTTGTATTGGAATTTAGATGCTGATATACAAAAAATGTAGCATGAATATAATAATTCTTGGGTCTTATTCACTGTTGTACAGCGTCCACCGGATATAGCCCCTAAAAACACCGAAAACGAAAGTAGAAAGCTGCACAACGAGTACACCCAAGGTAATGTTTTAACTTATTTCTTCATCATAACTTCATCGATTTTTCCAAACTAAACAATATCGTGAAGCTAAATATGTCTAGTTTTAGAGCAGTGTTTGCTTTTGCCTGCAAATTAAATACTTTTTGTTAAATTGGTGATAAAATGTAGCGTATTTGTTGACATTTGCGAACGATGTTGATATTTACCACTAAATCAAGCACAAAACGCATTTGCTGTATCAAATTCCGCCGTTAATACAAACTATAGTCATCCCTCTACTTATATTTGAGTTTTCACCCTTCAACTCGAGCTGCTTTTAACAAAATTTGCGAAAAACTGCCTTGCCTTGTGTACAGAGTCTAGCACGGATGTGTACGGGGTGTAGATGGAAAAGTGATGCGATTGTACGGGGTGTAGTAGGTAAACGAATGTCATTTCCTGCAAAATATATTCAGTACCAGAGCATATACACGTGCGCTGATGGAGAAAACGATTTATGTCGGGATCAGGGATTGTCAAGTGAATGATTTTAATTTTATTAAGGATAAAAATGTTTAATTAAATTGTCAACATGTTACGCAATATGTATATTAATTGCAGTAAAAAGTTTCCGTCCTGCTATACCACTTTTTATGCGTGACTATATTATATATTATATATATATATTATTATATACTATTATATAAGGCGGCTAAAACTGTTTTATAGAAGACAGTGCTAATGCCGTTTTGTAGAAAATGACAGTCCTGCATAATCTTTTAATCAATTTTCGACCTCCTGTCTTATGTGTAGGTAAGTTATACATGTATATAAATAAATTCCCATTCGGGCCATTTCCATTCAGCGATTTGGTCAGAAGACTCCTCAACATGTCTTATAAATACCGACAGACACTATTCAGCTGATGGTTGTGATGGTATGACAATAAAAATTAAACGCAGCTATACTGTTAGGCTCAAAAACACTAAAAACATAAATTATTTACCAAATACCTCTGTATCGTCCTCTAACCTATCCATGTTTAGTCTGATATGAGATTATTTCCAATTAAAAATAATAAGAAAGACTATACTTTATAAATATGTAACTGCTAGACACCGTTCACATCTACTAGACCCTGTACATTAAACTACTACACTCCGCTCACTTAAATTTGTTTTCTTTGCTAGACTCTGTACACAAGGCAAGGCAGATTTTTGCGAATTTTGTTAAAAGCAGCTCGAGTTGAAGGGTGTAAACTCAAATATAAGTAGAGGGATGACTATAATTTGTGTAAAACGGCGAATTTAGATACAGCAAATGCGTTTTGGGTTTGATTTAGTGGTAAATATCAACATCGTTCGCACATGTCAACAAATACGCTACACTTTTTTCGCAAAGATAACAAACAGTAGTCAATGTGCAGACAAAAGCAAATATTGCTCTAAAACCAGAATCATTAAGCTTCACAAAATTGTTTAGTTTGGACAAATCGATGAAGTTATGATGAAGAAATAAGTTAAAACATTACCTTGGGTGTACTCGTTGTGCAGCTTTCTACTTTCGTTTTCGGTGTTTTTAGGGGCTATATCCGGTGGACGCTGTACAACAGTGTTATTGGTTGTTGACAATGGCTGTTGAAAGGCAGTACTGATCTATGTTGTTTTTTTTTTTACTTACCAGGTATCAGGCTTCGAGGTAAGGACAGAGGAAAGCCTTTCGGAGGACCCAAACAGTAGCTAAACTGCTAAGTAACCATGGAAACAAGTCAATGCTCCTTGGATACTGAAACTCACTTTGCATTGTATTTTCATTCTGGCATATTTAAAATTTACTTCTTTAAAAGAGTTAGATGGAAAATAGAAAGAATAATATGTTAATATTTTATCAATGTTCCAATGTTTTACGTTTGGGTATATACTTTATATATTATACACATGATGTATATGCAAGGCGAATGGGATTGAAAACTGTTGCTTTTTTATATATATGTACAGTGAAAGTTGTCAGAATTTAAAGTGTTTTTAAGATAACATATTGCTTTGATGCCATAATGCTTATAATGGGATTAGTTACTTTGATATTGAAAAATGTTTTTGGTAATTTTTGTTTTTCCTTTTTCAACAGATATTTACCTTAATATTAACATAAATATAAGCATGAGTTGATAACATTCTTATGGCAGACAACATTTTGGAGTTTTTTATTTCATGGATTAATGGAAGTGGATATTCTTCAGGCAGTTCACATTGTAAAAAGTTCACAGGTTGTACGTTTAGCAGCTTGTTCAGTTCTAAATAAAACAGCTTTTTATCATCCATTAAAAAGTGTTGTTCCTTTATTGGTATGGCATAAAGTGACAATGTGCCGAAGGAATCATTTAGTTAGTGAACACGTGAAAGTCAAATTAAGTTTACATTTAGCCATAATTGCTTTTAAGTTTCAATTTTAGCACACCAGAGCACAGAGTGCTCAAGGTGAGCTTTTGTGATCACAATTTGTCCGGTGTCCATTTTCAACTTTTTTTTCAAACGATCTCCTCTGAAACCACTGGGTCCAATTTGATAACATTTTCCTGGGATGTTCCTAGCATAAAGTTCTACTGAAATTGTTCAAATGGTTCGGCTTTATTGAACATCTGGGTTGGAAGGGCTGAAAAATATATTTTAAAAGTAAAATCTTTAAATTCATCTCTGAAAGTGCAAGGTCTAGAGCTTAGATATTTTGTGTGTAGCATCATTGTATGAAACTCTAGTGGGCTCATGGCTTTTCCTTTAATAGTACATTGTAAATACTTTACAAATCTTCTTGAAAACTACTAGGGCTATATCTTAGATAGTTAGCATGGTACATTGTGTGGTGGATCTCTAGAAAATTGTTCAAATTATAGCCCTTGTGTTAAAATTGATCCCACCCCAGGGGCGTTCTCCTTATATGTACGAGGGTTGTTCGGGAAGTTCTGAGAATTGTTTTATAGCACACGTTGTAGTCGGGTTAGCGTAAATATAAATATATACGCATTTATTTCAATATATACTGTACAGTATCTGAAAATATCATCATCATACACACAGAAACTAAAACATAATAAAAATAGTAAATAACCATATAACAAACATCCGGAGCACGCCGACGTCATTTGCAACGTTATGCGACGTTAAAGTCCATCAATCGTCGCACCTTTTCAACATAGTCACCTGCAATTTCGATGCATTTCCTGTGTCGGCTGATCCACTTGTATGTTTCCACATACCAGCTATCGGTAAAGGACGAGACTATAGCTTGAGTATGCTTAACAAGATCGTCAGCTGAGTCAAAGCGTTTTCCACGCAGCTGTGATTTGAGCTCCGGGAACACACGGAAGTCCATCATAGCGAGGTCCGGGCTGTATGGAGGGTTTCTTCCTTCTTTAAAACGAGCATGCCATCTATACACTTTAGCCGGACTGCATTTCTTGTATTTTCCTGTAGAATTGATCATTTTCATTGTTTCTGTGGAAGACTTTACCAGCGCAACACAAAATTTCACGATGCTTCGCAATTCAACGTCACCTATCGACGTCATGTTGTTTACTCAGTGGCTCTGGGCAACAACTTTAAAACAATGTTGATCCGTTGAGAATTTAAATAACGTTATGATATTTTCAGGAAATGACGTCATGACGTTCCGCTGCTGACCAGCGTTTTCGCGCATTTTTTACGTTATCAAAATTACGAAATATTAGTGTAGCGCGTTATACCTTTCTTTAGAGTCAGACTGCTCCGGTGCGGCGTTATAGTGTTGCTATGGTTACTGCTATTTCCGGCTATTGTTGTCTGATTTTATTCAATTTTTAGGAATAGTTCCTTGATATGCTAATCTTAGTATGTGCAAAATATTACGTCTTAGAAACAAAAAATAAAGGAGATATGACAAAATTCCCAGAACTTCCCGAACAACCCTCGTATATAGTAAAAACTTAATAAAAGAAATTCTTCTTCACTAAAACAAATAGGTTAAAGCTTAGATGTTTTAGCATGAAACATGGTTTAGTGGACCTCTACCAAGTATGTTCAAATTGAAGCCCTGGTGTCAAAATTGGTACTGCCCCAGGGGTCAAAAAGTTTATATAAACTTGTATCTGTAGCAAAGTACATTATGTAAATGTTATCAAGTTTCTTACAATACAAGCCATGGGGACTAAAGTAGCTCAACTCTGGGACAGTCATGGATTTTCCTTGTATGTAGTGTATATAGTAAAATGTTAAAAAATTCTTCGTCTTAATAAACATGAAAGCTTAAGCCTAGATATTTTTTTATGAAACATTGTCAAGTGGACTTCTGCCAAGTTTTTTAAAATTATAGCCTTGGATTCTATATTGGCCTCACCCTGGGGGTTCCTCAATTTTTGTGTTGCCTCTACGGCGTAGTGGCGACATATAGGGATCACTTCTCCGTCGTCTGTCCGTCCGTCCGTCACAAACCTTGTCCGGACTACTCATAACTACTGGTGCAATTTCATGTGCATATTGTCAGCATTTTCCGGTTCAATGATTTTTGTAAGAGTTATGGCCCTTTAATAATTTTTATTTTTAAAGTTTGTCCAGACTACTCTTATACCACTAATGCAATTTCAATGAAACTTTACAGGATTGATCTGTAGCTCTCCGGTTGAATGATTATTGGCCAAGTTATGGCCCTTTGATAAAAAGGTGTTTTTTTCTGTGTGTTGCCTGATACACAAAAGCTTGTTCGAACTACTCCTCATAAACTACTGGTGCAATTTTATCCAAACTTTACAGGAATGATTAGTACCAAGTCTAGTTGTGCACTGTCCGTCTGTCTGTCTGTCACAAAACTTGTCCCCACTACTCCTCATAAACTACTGGGGCAATACAGGAATTTATGTCGCCACTACTCCGATCACTTCTCCGCTTGTCACAAAACTTGTCCAAACATGAAATTGGCCATCATGAGGCGACACATTTGATCACTGATCGCATTTGTATTAATATTTTATGAACCCTTGCAAAGTTTGATTAATTAAAACTTGTCTGGTGGACTTCTCAGAAGTTTGTTTAGATATAATAGCCTTGGGATCTAAATTTGCCCCACCCTAAGGGATATGGATTTACCTTATAATTTATGATTATAGTAAAAACTTAAAAAGTTCTCTTCTCTAAAAACCACAAGAGCTAAAGATTAGATATTTGGCACGAAATATTGTCTAGTAGACCTATACCAAGTTTGTTCAAATTATAGCCCTTGGTTTAAATGGGTCCCACCCTGGGGAGTCAAATTTCCTTATATGATTTAGTTAAAACTTCTCTAAAATTATTGAGGATAAAGCTTAGATGTTTTGCATGAAACACTATCTAGTGGACCTCTAGTAAGTTTGTTCAAATTCTAGCCATGGGGTCTAAATTGCCCCCCTCCCCCTCTCGGTTGGTCATTAACTTTCCTAATAATTATGTATATAGTTAAAACTTACAAGAGCTAGAGCTAAGATATTTGGCATGAAACATTAAATTGTTGACCTCTACTTAGTTTTATAAAATTATAGCCCTGAGGCTATATTGACTCAACCCATGAGGGGTAAGGGGTATATCACCTGTGACTTCCACTGCAACCATCGACTTTCCATAGCAACCAATGACATCCAATGCAATCATTAACTTTCCATAACAACCAGTGACTTTCATAGCAACCAGTGTCATAACATCATATGGCTTCCATAGCAACCATTAACTCTCCATAGCAACTAGTGACTTCCCTACCAAACAATGACTCCCTAGCAACCACTGACATCCATAGCAACAACTGACTTTCCATAGCAACCAGTAATGGTAACTTTCCATATCAACCAGTGACTTACAAAGCAACCAGTACCATAACATCATGTGGCTTCCAAAGCAACCATTTACTTTTCATAGCAACTAGTGACTTCCATAGCAACCATTTATTTTTCATAGCAATCATTGACTTTTCAGAACAACCATTGTCTTCCCTACCAAACAATGACTTTCACTAGCACCACTGACATACATGGCATTAATTGACTTTCCATAGCAACAAGTAATGCCCACAGCAACCATTGACTTTCCATATCAACCAGTGACTTACAAAGCAATCAGTACCATAACATACTGTGGCTTCCATAGCGACCATTATGCAACCATTGATTTTTCATAGCGATCATTGACTTTCCCTAGCAATTACTGACATCCATAGCAACAATTGACTTTCTATAGAAACAGCAACCAGTGACTTTCCATACCAATCAGTGACTTCCCATTGACTTTCAATAGCAACCTGTGACTTCTTAAGCATCAATGATTTTCCATAGCAAACAATAGCTTCCATACCAACTATTGACTTTCCTTAGTAAACGATGATGGTGGATAGCAACCATTGACTTCCATAACATGTATTGACTTTCTATAGCAGCCAATAACTTCCATAGCAATCATTGATTTTCCATTGTAACCATTGACTTTCCATAGCAACATGTGACTTAAATAGCAATCATTGACTTTGTATAGTTACCATTGACTTTTCATAACAACCTTTGACTTCCATAGCAACCATTGACTTTCTATGGCAACCAGTGACTTTCTATGGCAACCAGTGTTTACTTCAGTCAGGGGATAACAGGGACATCATAGCTCTCTGGTATGATTTACTTCTTACAAACGATAAATATCTCAAATGGCCCCAAGGAAATTTTGGTAAATATCTACCAGAATTAGCTGTAACTGAAAATTATATGAAGTTGAATGCATACATATTTGATATTCAGTTGTTTGTAACATAGATTTTTCTTGGTAATCTTTATGTTGTTTTTTTTTGTTTGTTATTTTTTTTTTTTAAATTATATTTTTTTCATCACCTGTAAACATTTTTTTATGCAGTTGACTATAAAGTCTATATTATATTATTAGTTATAAAGATCGTTGACAGGTTATATGGCCCTATATAAACGGCTATTTGTAAATATAACCCGAGCCGTTAGGCAAGGGTTATATTGCAAACAGCCGTTTATATACAGCCATATAACCTGTCAAAATCTTTATAACGAATTTATAATACAGCAAGCATCATTTTTAGAGAAAAAAAGTAAGATTTCTTCATGGATTGACAGCAGCCGTGTATATAAAACTATATAAACGTCACGATTATCCAATGAAAAATGACGTTGCAAACGTGCAGTATTATAACTAGAACTGCCACTATCATGGCTTGAATACCCCCGCATACCACTTTGTCAGAATCAACAGTGGCCATTTAGAGCTCAAGGACAACCTCCCTGCAAAATCTGAGGTTATGCCAGTGCATTGCTAAGTTATGT